CAGTATACCTAGGACATCCTTTACAGCGAGGACTTGAATTGTGCAGCTGAACCATAAACTCTTGGAGATGACCTGTCTTTCGATGTAGTAAAGCTCATGGTTAAGGTCGTGTTGCTGGCCTATACATCAGATGCACAGAACTTTGCCGAGTAAATAGGTAGGCTGGTACTGAAGTCTCCTGGAACAGGACAGCCTTTCTCAGTCATTGAAGGTCCTGCCGAAATCAAGTCTTCCCTGGTTACAAGCAGCAGTGAAGGATACTACAGCAGTCTCCACAAATTTGTCTGAGCCAAGTCTCAAACCAGTTTAGTAGCAGAAAACGCCACCATTGTTGACTATAGTGAAACAGGAAGTGGCCAGACCACTGACAAAATATCAGGATCTACTTTGTCATCATCAGTGTGTGCCCACTTCCAGCAGGAGCTTTGGATTCCTAAACTCAAGAAAACATTTCCATAACTTAAGTTATCTCTAGGGTTGACCAAGCTTTGAAGGGTTCTCAGCAAGTCAAGTTCCAGTATCAAGACTGCTACGAATGAGACCATACCATCAACACTAGGTGTCCTGGCTGTTGCAGCCATGTCAGTTGTTGGGATTTTGATGATCGTGACACCACCACCATAACTAGAAATAAGTGAGCCTCAATCTCGACAGCTAACCAAATAACACCACTGGTACCAAAGACAAACATCATGGTAAAAAGAAACAGGAATTTGCCACGCCATCCAAGAAATACCGGGATTTGCTCCTGAAGTGTTCTGTTAGAGGGTACCCCCTCACAAACATCGATGATGCCAGTTGTACTTTCACCATTGGTAGGAACACTACTTCCACAAAACCAATAAAACATTTCTGGAATTTCGATTCTCTTGGGGGTCAACAGGGCTCTGAGAGAGTAGCAGCAAGATGGGTCCCTGGACAAATCTTCCATTCCAGTGACCATAATCACCATGAATGACATCACAGTAATGACAACTGTAGCAGTCCAAACCAGCCAGACCATGACCAGACTATCAGCATTGCCATAAAAAGAGTTCACCATGTATGAAGGGAAATCCACGATAGCTACCAAACTGACCATCATCCGACCAATGTAGACTAAGAAAAAACCTTTATCTTGTTGTTGATCGAACCACTATTTCTCAAAAGGTTCTGAAACTAACTCTAACAACAGCTGAGGGTGGAGCTTCTACTACTTTAGCCAAAGTCATCAATGACCACCTGACATGGAAGCAGATCTCCAGCTTCAAGTGGCATTGTCAGGTAATGGTCGCACAGTGGACCAAGGCCCAGACCTCATATAGGGGGGAGAAAACAATCCGCACCAAATACCATCCTGTGCATCATCACTGTTTCAGGAAGTAGTTCACTGGATATAGGCAGTGGTAGCTGAAAAACCAGAAGGACACTAGCTAAAAAGCTAGAGTCACCATAAATGCTACCACTGAGTCCACTTGTAATACAACTACCACATTGGAGGACTACTTCTAGTTTGAGATAAGGGTAAGGGAAGTCGGACCTTACAGCTGCCATGGGTAAGTATGTATTTATTCTGTGTATAATTTTTTATTTGTTTTTTTTTTGGTTTTGTGTACATTTTATATAGTTTTGATTCAAGTGTGATTTATTTATCTCTGCACTTTATCAATATGATTACTTTTTCTTTTATTTCCTTATTGTTCTTAATTTTTATGAATATAAGCCGAGTCATCTTTAATATATATATATATATATTGCCATGAATTGCAATGGGTTTCTATTTCGTCTTATGTTTTAAAAGTATTAGTTTTACTAGGAATTTCTTATAGTTCTTTATATTTGGTATGTTTCCATTAATGATAATTGTAATTGTATTATGTGTTAATAGATATGTATTAAAGGGATCAGTTTTCAGTTTCAATGTTAAAGGGTTAATTTTAATGTCTTATTCTTTAGAGGGGTTATTTTTATTTTTGCATTTTTGCTTTTATGATTTATCTTAAAAGTTTATCTTGTTTTTGTGATCTTTGTTCTTAGTTTGCTGTCAATGGGCATTTCATCATGCTTTTCACTTGTTGTGTACTCTATATCTTATTGTATTGTGTTATAAACTGAAATGTGAAAGTAACCTGTTTGTTGTATTGAAATATTTGTTAAAAGGTATTTTATAATGTCTTGAATGATTGTTAAAGGTTATTTTTTCATGTCTTAAATGATTGTTAAATGGTATTTTATTATGTCTTGAATCATTGTTAAAGGGTAATTTTCATATTGTCATGGTTTGTGTCATCTGTGTTACTACGTAAGTATTTTACAGAAGCGAGAAAACGCCACTCAGATTTCTTTATCAATGCACAAGCAAAATTTTATTCAGTTTAAACTTTAAAATAAGAGGCAGTTGGTACAGCCCGAAAACATATGAGGGCAGTGTGGATTTGTGATTTCCACAGAGTACATTGGTCAATAAAGTAACTAAGTTCCTTTTGCTCTAGTTACCCAATGTTTTGTTTTATTCACCTTTATATTCCTGTGAAAAATGTTTCTGCAAGGTTATCCATACTCTCAGGGGTGACTATAAAGAGAGGGGGGATTGCTGGGGCTGAATCTTCTCCAAAATCTGCCTTAGCCTTTCCCAAAGCTTCTTAAACCACCAAAGGACAAGTGCTTATTGAGGAAGTTGGTTCACTTCCTAAATATTAAAGTATGTGTGCCCACAAGATGTAGAGTGCAACTTCCTCAATTTTATGTGTAGCCCACATCAGCCCCCTCACTGAGAAGAGGCTGGCGCCACCTTTGCATACTATGTAGGAAGGTAAACAAAACTTTTTTCCATAGGTTAAACAGGTTATGTCTTAAGGCTATGAATCCCTTATGTTGAGTGGGAATGATCAAAACTCTCGGGGATAGTGCAGGTTGGGGAGGCATGGCATTATAGAAAAACGAGTTTTATCTCGTGCTTTCTCAGACTGGGAGAGATTTTTACAGTTCTTAGAGTAGAGAGATTTGGTAGAAAACTTCCCCAGACATTTAGAGATTTTACATCCTCCAATAAATGCAACAACAACAACACACACACACACACATACACTCCGTTATTTTGTGTTATTGAATAAAAGACTGTGTTATCACATTTGTATCCAGTATCTTTCTTTCACAAGCTCAGTCAGATTCAGATAATTCAACAATACTCTGTAATATATATCCTGGCCGAATCTCCTATTATTCCATGGGACCTATTTTGTCACTATTCGGGGAAATTAGTTTTAACTGAGAATACCACATAGGAAAAGTAGTAAACTGGTAGTTAGGCAGCCTTATCTCACAGCATATACAAAGATTTGGAATATAGAATGGTGCCTTTTTCAAAAGGGACTGAAGGCCGACTGGAGAGGTCACCTGTTTTAACCACTCGCACCACTACACAGTAGTGTGTTGTCAGTCAGTCAGTCAGTAGACGCTAAAATAACATTACATTTGGGACGCTTAACGTTGCAATTTGTACTGTCTTGACGTCGGTAAAACGTGCGCATTCCAAGAATCACGAGAAGAGTTATGCATTCTGTAGACTACAACACAACATGAATATGAACTTCAAAAGCAAGAAATAACAATATTCGTTGCTCTTAATTTTGGTTTTATTTACTCTTGAAACAGAACACTTTCGGGGACCCTGCAGTAGTACATCTAGTCCCATGTATAATAGGCGTTAAATACTCTATGGTGACTTGTTGAGTGGAATGATAACCACTCTTTCATATAGGGGAAGGGGATAGGTGTTACAGTCACTTTTTAATCACTTTTCTCTTAGATTACATTAAAGCTCTACACAAGCATGATGAATCGACGCCCATTGTACAGAGATTTACACCTTCTTATTATGAAGGAATTGCTTTCTTTTTGTAAGTCTGAGAACTCAGAATTAAGTTTCACTGAGCTCAGGTATTTCAAAACTCATTTACCTGCCAGGTCAACAGACTTCGGTTAATAAAAAGCGATACACAACCTTTGAAAATTCTACAAGCTCGCAAATAGGTTGGTTAACAAAAATTGTACTTAACAATAATATCATACGAACTCTATCAAACTTTATCATATAATTAATACAACGATGAAAGAACATAGCTATAACCGAATTTGAATAATTTATTTAACCAATAGATGGCAACACAGTATGTTTCAAGAAATTGTTGCGGTGAGCGCATTTAGGTTTACGATTATATCTAGATAATATTTAGATTTTTTGAATTTATATATTTATTAAGTTAATATTTTAAGACTTCTTTTGGTATTTTTATCGAAGATGAGAACGCTTTATATAGAATTTAGAATTTAGAAGCAAAAATATGTAAATAACGTAAAAATGTTTTTTTTATACTTTATAATCGATGTTGTACTATCCCTTAACATGAAGGTACTGCCATAATGACATAACATGCAATTTTACAAAATATTTATTTTTCTATAAAAAATCATCAGAGATTTATTAACGATTATCAATTTCGTACAGAAGCAATGTCAACTCAAGCAATAAAAATACAAATCAGTAAAACTAATAAGTAATTTGTAAAACAATATCTTACTCCAATATTCAAATTCTTCTCAATTATGTTTGAAACATAATAATAATATAATATCTTTTCCCCTATTTTCTTATAACTTTGATAAATAAATCAAAGATGTGATATTTTTATTTTATTTTAGCCAATTATTCAAATAGATATAATTTCACCCTATAGCTAAGTTAGGTTAACCAGTAGAAATAACAATAAATTAATACTTTAAAATTGGAGTTTAGTCGTTTAGATACTGTTTAACGATGCTTTTCGCCTGAAATTAAATTCACAAGTATTATTCCCTCAGTAAAAGGTGATAATAACGGGTCTTAGTTAAGCAGTTCACATGGGGCGTTGAAAAGTAAGCCATATCTAACGTGACGTCACAGGTGGCTCCGCCTTCTGTCCTTCTGGCAGATTGCAACTCAGTGGTGGTGAGTGAGTGCTTTTCAATGGTGGTTTGTTACATTGCGGGGTAGCAATAGGTAGGCCTACGCATTACACAGATGAAGCAAGGTAATTTTAGAAAGCATATTACCAACATTAAAACTTTAAAATGGCTAAAACGTGTATAAAACGAGCAATTTCATCAAATAAGCTAAGCTATGTATGTATTTCTATACCAAGAATACCGCCAATAACCATGTAAATGAGTTGCCCTCGTAGGCCTTTTACTAGCCTCCAGGCTAAAACAACAGACAGGGAGAGGGCCTCTCACCGGAGACAACAAAAATAGGTCCTGGGGAATTCTTCCCAACATTTTGACGAATGCCTAGTGCAGTTCTCCTGTCCATGGAACCCTTTCAGGTTGGTTTGCGAAACGAAAATGGCCGTGATGAAGATCGGTTGTGGACAGCCCTCTACGACTACGATGCGGCAGGTGAGGACGAACTATCATTGCGTCGGGGAGAACAGGTGGAAGTGCTCTCCAAAGATGCCAAAATATCAGGGGACGAGGGATGGTGGACAGGAAAAATTGGCGAAAAGGTTGGGATTTTTCCCAGCAATTTCGTGACACAGTGCGTAGGAAATTCTAATCGACCATTTGAAATAAAGTTTTCTGAATTAGAACTAGAAGAAGTGATTGGTGTTGGGGGTTTTGGGAAAGTGTACAGAGGATTTTGGAAAAGTGAAGAAGTTGCAGTGAAAGCTGCTCGACAAGACCCAGATGAAGATATTAGTGCTACAGCACAGAGTGTGCGACAAGAGGCTAAAATATATTGGCTCCTAAATCATCCAAACATTGTTACATTGAAAGGTGTTTGTCTTGAGGAGCCCAACTTGTGTTTAGTAATGGAATATTCAAGAGGTGGACCTCTGAATCGTGTACTTAGTGGACGCACAATTCCTCCAGATATTTTAGTTGGCTGGGCAATACAAATAGCACGGGGAATGAACTACTTACATTCTGAGGGTCCAATTTCACTTATTCATCGAGATTTAAAATCAAGTAATGGTAAGAAAATTAGTAAATTGTTTAATACATTTTAAGTTGTGTATATATTGACTAGCCTTATGTTGTGATTTTCCTGCAAGGCATTGAATATAAGGAAGATGTTGACTGAAGATAGTTTTGATAGTTATTGTTTACTCAAAATCAGGTTTTATAACTAAGTTGTGTGAATCTGATAACAGTTAGAAGTGTCTAGTAAAATCATATGAAGTTTACCTAAATATACCAAAAAACCTGCTTGAAAAGTGTGCCATCTTATATACAACAAGGGACATATTGGTCCATTTAGGTCATCCCATCCATTAAACTTTAAAATAAAACACTTAAAGCTTGCCTTTCTCATTCAAATATTTATCATACTTTCCCTTAAACTTCCTTAAATTAACGGCATCTCATTCCAAAGGTCAACCACCCTTTTAGGAAAATTAAGCTGTCTTAGCTGAAGATAGCTCCTACCTTGCTAAAATTTATGTTTGTGTCCCCTAGTCCTACCATTCTCACCTCAGTGAGTTTACCTCTTTCATTTTTTTTCAAGCGAAAGCAGTTTCAGAGATCTTAATCAGTCCTTGCATGACAACCTTATACTAGCCCTCCTCTAAACCCGAAACTGGACACATTACTCTAAATGTGGCTTAATCAATGACCTACAAAATAAAATTATAACCTCTTTAGACTTGTATTCAATATTGATGTAGATATAGTCTATAATCCTATTTGCCCTACTAGGCAGTAGCAACAGCAAAGGTAAAACAGTTGGGGGTGTATTTCATTCTCCTGAAAAAGAATAGTGAGCTAATCGAAAGCACTTAATTTTTAGGTTTAGTATGAAAACTATTACAAGTTTTATATGTGATCCTGTGTGCTAACTTCTTAATCAGAATTTCAGTAGTACTATTAGTGTGTTAATACTGGTGTACTGACTACAATGCATCTTTAGTGAAGTTTTAGTCCTGGCTTGGTGCCATGTTTGAATGTTAGTTGTGCTGCAAGTTGCCAGCTCATTATATATTCTGAAATGTGAAAATGTTATGCATAGATATTTTTATACAGTAGTAGTCATGGAATTCGGAACTTCACAAGAAACAATGTGAGAGAAACCTAATCAACCCATTGTGATCATCCCATTTATTCTTCAAATAGACCTAGCATGGGCTGGTGGTTAGGGAGGCCGACTTGCAATCTGAGGGTCACAGGTTTGAATTCCCATCCCACCAAACATGCTCGCCCTTTCAGCCATGGGGGATTATAATGTGATGGTCAATCCCACTATTCATTGGTAAAAGGGTAGCTCAAGAGTTGATGGTGGGTGGTGATGACTAGCTGCCTTCCTTCTAGTCTTTTACTGCTAAATTAGGGACGGCTAATGCAGATAGTCCTTATGTAGCTTTGCGTAAAATTCAAAAAACAAAGACACCTACCTGATCCTGTCTTCTACTACCGCTCTACTCTAAAATGCTTTTTAAAGTACTTATCCAAGCTCCTTCACTTAAACTTGTTTATTGTTGTAACTTTTACTGTACTTGAAGGCAAACTAATCCATAGGCCAATTATAAAAATAATGCTACCTTAACTGAATTGGTGTCCATATCTTCTGCTAGGGTCCTCTAGTACAGTTATTAAACTTATGGATTCCAAACCTGTAAAAGACATGCACAATAATTTATAATCTTTGCCATTTTTGGCCTATAGATAAGACAGATTTTCACTGCTGGTTCTCATTTCCTTAAATTTATTGTCTATTTTTCTCACTAGTATGATTAGTGTGTTTTTTACATATTCCATTTGACAATAACCTGGTAGGAAATGACAACTCAACCTAAACATTTTCCATAAACTACTCATCTTTATATTGCATCTTCAAGTTTCTGTGGAAAAGTTTTAATCATTTGAAGTTATGGCAATACAATCTTTATTTAACCGAGATATCAGTAATCTGATGATATCTAACGTGTGTGGTAATAGCAACCAAAGCCACCTGTTCTATCATTATATTACATATGCTTTTAATGCTTGTGTAAAATGAATCAAATGTTTTTTTGGACATTGCTGTCAAGAAAAATTCTCAAATTTAATTGCTTTATAACTACTGAAAACTGAGTAATTATCATCCAGGATCATAGTCTTTCCTCCATTGATACTTACCTGATTTAAAGAACTTCTACAAAAAATTTCTTCACAGCCTTTTTAACTGAAGCCTATTAAGGGAAGACAACTTTCACACTTCTTAGCTCTGTTTTGCAAAGATAATCAGCTATTCTTTTCATTCTTTCATATCTCTTCTACTCATTTATTCTTCTACTCCTTGAACTTTATAAATACTTCTCAGCTGTGAAGTTTACATTATTTTGTGAAAGAGCATCTTCAGATTTAGCCACTTAATTACTACATTTTTCTTATCCAAAAATTCCAGTCACATTCTTCACATGCACTTCATATTTGTCACTGTTATAACTTGTAAGCTTTAATCTACAATAACATTCAGAATATTTTTCCTTTCATGTATTTTAACAGTTAGGGTCTTATGTGTGTTGAACAGACTACCATAGTCAGGCTATTCAAGTGGTCAGCAACTTTAAACAGATTGAATAAAACATGTTCACTTGTAGTTCCTCTACGTTTCATAGAAAATAACTTTTTAAGCCATACTTTCTCTGTGAAAATTATGAAGCCAGGAATAATCTGATAGTAATCTGTTACTGCACTCTTTTCAGTGTGTATATCTTTTTTGTCATTTGTTTTATTTTTACTACAGTCAAACATTCAGCAAATGGTTTTAAGTGTTTTCAGTAATCCTTATCTTTCTTCTTAACACGAGTGTTCAGGTCACAGAAGTAGACTCTTTCAGTACTTTCATATCTCTATTTGTAGTACAATATTTTACATTTTTCAATATTGAAACACCTTTCCTAGGTTCTTGCCAACTCAGTAGTGCTGCTCAGATCCTTTTTTTTTAATTTTTTTATTAATGAATCATTTTACACATAACTGGACTTTCTTTGGTAGAGATTTTACATTATTGACATAAGGCAATTTGGGAATATTATTGCCAATATTACCCATGGAAATCTTGTACTGTTACATTTACTAATTAGTAGGTGGAACAATGCCTCTACCTGTACATTAGTATCGTGTTTTTGAATAAAATCCTACTGTTAAACGCAATAAGTAGGTGGAACCATATGTCTGTATTTACATTGGTGTCACATGTTTTTGGATAAATTCCTACTGTTACATTCACTTAGTAAGTGGAACAGTGTCTCTACATTTACATTAGTGTCGCATGTTTTTGTATAAATTTCTGCTGTTACATTAACTAAGTAAGTGGAACAGTGCCTCTACATTTACTCTAGTGTCACATGTTTTTGTATAAATTCCTGCTGTTACATTCACTAAGTAAGTGGAACAGTGCCTCTACATTTACTCTAGTGTCACATGTTTTTGTATAAATTCCTGCTGTTACATTCACTAAGTAAGTGGAACAGTGCCTCTACATTTACATCAGTGTCACATGTTTTTGTATAAATTCCTGCTGTTACATTCACTAAGTAAGTGGAACAGTGCCTCTACATTTACATCAGTGTCACATGTTTTTGTATAAATTCCTGCTGTTACATTCACTAAGTAAGTGGAACAGTGCCTCTACATTTACTCTAGTGTCACATGTTTTTTTGATGAACTTGTACTGTTACACTCACTAAGCAAGTGGAAAATGCCTCTACATTTACATTAGTGTCACATGTTTTTGTATAAGTTCCTACTGTTACACTCACTAATCAATGGAATAATGTCTTTACATTGGTTTCATGTTTTTGAATAAATTCTTATTGTTATATTCACTAATTAGTTGGTGGAACAATAGCTCTACATGTACATCATTATCACATGGTTTTGAATAAACTTCTACAGTATTTATAGTAAGTAAGCTGAAAGATGATATTATATACACTTTCTAATAACATTTAGTCTACAGTGTGTCCTACATGGGTTAGCTACAAATTATCTGTGCCAGTAGTTGATGAAAGATTGCACATTCATGTCCTCTAGAGGCCACATGTCTGAACAGTGATTGATTGTCCTAGGATGACATAAGCAAATTCTGGTAGCAGTCTCTGTAATTGCATGTTTGTATAGCCTTAATTATGTATATGACATATTGACAACCAATAAGATTTAAATTTTGTAGGTAAAAAAATATTTGATTTTGCCTTAATTTTGGTAATATATTTTTAATGAAACATACATTTGCTGTAATATGTAGATTAATTAACTGATTTCAAAAGTTTATATGTGTTACTGATAGATTACAGCTAGTTGGTGTATATTTTATTTTTGGTCCTTTGAGAAATAACCTCTTTGTTTGTGTCACTGTTTGTTTTAACCCTCTACAGACAGGTCATGGGTCAAAAGCCATGTCATTATGTTTGTTGATTCATATAACAAAATTTTATTGAACTACTATTTCATAAATTTATCTTAATAAGTTTGGTATCAAACTGTAGATTATAAATGAAATTTTAATATTATATATCACTTAATTTCTTAATTTAAAGGTAAATGCTAAAAAACACAGTTAAATATGGATTTTTGTGAGTCACATGGTATGTTGAATGCAGCACTGGTTTAAATTAGATGTTTGTTATATCAAAATACTAAGTCTATAGTTTTGTATGAATTAGGAACTCAAATTACCAATATTGACAGCCAGAATATAAAATAAGAACCTCTTATCTTTT